GCTGTGAGCCTGAAAGTTGACAACAAGATAATAGAACTTTGCGATGTAAGAGCGGTACATATATATACGGCATACATTTTTACTTGATGATTATTTCAAGTATTAATGAAGTATGTTAATGCCGTACAAAATCATTTCACCATAAAATTACAATTTTTGGGGGAAAACTATTTTCCCCGTGTAGCCATATATTCCACGAAAAATGTACGGCATTATAAAAATTGTCGTTAATTTATCAAATACTATTAAAATTAATTAAATTTTAGTTGTATCAATTCACCACCATTATACTATATAAGGGTAGGGGGTTGCGACCCAAGTTTTCTCACCCCTGTACCAGCAAATATATACAGCGTTGGTAAATTTTAAACGTAAAAAATTACAGAAAGGTAACTGTAACAATGCCGTATGTTAATTAATGAATTTTTTCCGCATAGAAAATTTCCTGAAAATTAAAATTTTTGTATGGCTTCCAGCACCATTATTTCCGTACTAAAGAAAGCCGTAAAAAATCATTTAGTCTTTTCCACCCCTTCTGGACAGAAAATTCAATTTTCCCCTGTCGCTCTCAAGTGCAAATAGCAAATAGCTTGTATAATTTCACACGTATTATATCTTTCTTTCTCAGCGACTCAGTATTGTGTTGAAATCTTTTGGACACTAATGTTATAGTATTACAAACGATCTTAGAAATTTCCTCATAAAGTATTGTTGGTCCCTCGCTGACAGATTTGGTACTGCCTACAGTCTGCCCATTGGCAACCAGCACGCCACCTTGTGACTTTACACGTACTAGCAGTATAGGAATATTTTGTTCTATCAAGGTAAGCTTCTTCAAGGCCATTCATTTAACCTTCTTTTAATGTTTACTTTCCTATCAAGATACCTTCTTTTGAAATGTGATTTGCTATCAAGATACCTTCTTCTAGTTGCGTACCAACGCGTCCAGCGCTATTTTCTTTTTCTTTCTGCTGTAGTTTTGGTTGTGTGTGGGCGTCTTTTCGTTAACTTCCAGATTTTGGGATATTAACGCCCCAAACACCAGTTTAAGGAGTAGTACCCTCTTATTTTGTACCTTACATTTAGTTTTGTTGGTCCCGTCCATTTTGTAATGGGATTTTAACCTCCAGTGGTAAGTTCTGTTTTGTATACCATCGGACCATGTCCATTAATGCTTGTCCTGAAGAAGCTGGTTCAAAATCTGCTTGTTTTTAGTGGAAAGCCATTGTGGAGAACCACCATTCACACTCCTCCAGTTTTGTTTTGTAGCTGCCTTGTAGCAGTTTCGCAGCCGATTTTATTGGAAGCCATCCCTTCCCTTTGACAAAAAACCCTGATGTGGACAGGTGAAACTTTATTTTATTGGGTATTTTATAGATATAAGTATATTGATTGTTGCTGACTGAAATTCTTAGAGTGTTCTTGATGTGGTTTGGCATTTTACGTATTCAAATATGGGGTAGTGCCTACATGTCACTGACTTTTGGGCTGTTTACATTACATTGATCATGATTTTGAATTTTCGGCTGCCATAGCTTATTTTAGAACAAGGGATAACTTTCTGAGGGTATATCACTTAGGTATATTTTTATCTTTTCTTGCCCTTGCAGAAAGAAGAGTAAATTTCTTGTGAAATAGAATGTACATGGATTTTTCTACAAGTTTTGAGTGTTTTAAATGTGTAGTTCTTCCTCAGACACAGAGTAGAGAGTAGATTTTTAGGGTTTTTTATACCGTAAATTTTGTGAATGAGGCTAGCAGTCCCTACCTTGTGACGTTCCTTACGTCACTGCTCACTACTGGCCACTGGTTTTTGACCTGAGCGTTTGTGAGCTGATGACATCTCAGCTGCGCCTAGAGCTGTAACTGGAAGAAGAGCATTATCCAGATAAGACCGTTGTCCAGATAATTTTAGATTCAGGCGTTAAACTATTTGTAATAGACTGGGAGCTGTGGGCAAAAATGGGGGGGTCATGTGATACAGCAGGAAACCTACTAATAACGATAGTACTACATCAAAAAATAACTCCTAGCACTATGCCGTCACTTGAGAGCGGACAGGGGAAAATTGAATTTTCTGTCCAGAAGGGGTCGGAAAAGTCTAAATGATTTTTTACGGCTTTCTTTAGTATCACAGATGCCAACAAAATAATCACGATGCACTTAGTGCCGTACGGAAATAATGGTGCCGGAAGCCATAAAAAAATTTTAATTTTCAGGAAATTTTCTATGCGGAAAAATTAATTAATTAACGTACGGCATTGTTACAGTTACCTTTCTGTAATTTTTTACATTTAAAATTTACCAACGCCGTACATATACAGGGGTGAGAAAACTCTGGTCGCAACCCCTGCTTTAGACCGCTATGGTGGAAAGTCATCGGAAAATGTACGGCATTCATTTCAATCTCTTATTTAACATCTAAAATAACTTTAAATAATAATGCCGTCTTAAAAATTTAGTTCATATAAATATAAATAAATAATTACCAAAACTTGGGGGTGCAATATCATTTTCTTACAATAAAATCATAAGATACTATACGGCAATCATTTTTTTACAAAATTATATTAAATATTATCATTTTACCACGTAGCCGTTTATAAAAAATGCAATAACTTGAAAATATATTAAAATAAAAAAAAATATAAATTTTCAAAAATTTAAAGATTGTTAAATGTACTATTTATTAATAAATAAAGTGGTATTAAAAATTATTATTGCTATTTTATGTTTATCAAAGATTAAAAAACAAAAAAAAAAACATATGCCGTATACTTTATCTGAAGTCACTTGAAACACTGAAATACCGGGTGCGTTTTATATATCTATATTTAACACACTCTGTTGCTGCAAAAATCGCCAAATTTCGCAGCAAATATCCCCCGTATAAGAGATCAAAGGCACTTTCACCGGTCCACGTGGAGTAAAGCACGCCTATGCGTGGACAGAGCCAATGAGAAAGCGTGTATTTCAGAGCTCGGAACAAGTGCAGGTGGCTACTGAAAATTGAAACAGTTTAGCCAGTGCCGTGTAGCGGTGAATAAACGTGTTTTCTTTAGTCTGTCCGTGTTTTTTCATAGATTTTATTAGTTTGTGTGTTTTTGACTTTTGAATACTCAGTTTACTTGTTGATTTAATTGTTGTGTTGATTGTTCTTGTGTGTCCTAAATATGGCTCTTTGGAGACCTTGGGAAAATGATCCAAGCGACGAGGAGATGGTTGATGAACCTGTGCAGGCAGAATTCTTTCATAAAGATTTAGAGGAACAGACCCAAAGAGTAATCCTAAATATGTATGATTGTCTGAAAAACGAAAATCCAGATTCCTCGCAAAATCAAATTTTAAACAGAATTTGTATCCTGACAAAAATCAGTCGGTCTACCATTTATCGGGTTATAAAAGGGGAGATGTAGTCAACCATTCCTCCACAGAAAGCGCATAGGGCAAAAATTAAAAAGAATGGACGTGGGTTTTCAGGAAGATATTCGTCGTATAATATACGGATTTTATAAAGAAAATTTGGTGCCCACGTTGGAAATGATACGCGATAAAATAAAAGATTATCCTGAAGATTTTTATAATTACAAATGCTTAGACTCACTGCACTGTATTGTAAAACTGTGTGGTTTTCAATACAAAAAAATAGATAAAAGAATGGTGATTATGCAGTAGTCTCGAATCGTTGAATTGCGCCAAGAATTTTTGCACAAAGTTAAAATCTACAGAGAGCAGAAAATAAATCTGATTTACCTGGATGAAACGTGGTATGATACCCATGATGTTGTGTAGTACGGCTGGGTTGACGACAGCAACAAGTGCATTTTAAATGCACCATGCAACCGTGGAAAACGGATCATTATTCTCCATGCTGGCAGTGAAAATGGATTTATACCTAATGCCTTGCTGTTATCTGCCAAAAATATCAAATAATCATGTGCCGACTATCATGAGGACATGACCTCCGACTTATTTGAAAAGTGGATAGAGCAGCAGTTAATACCAAACATTTCCCCAAATTCAGTGATTTTTATGGACAATGCGCCATACCATTCCCGACAGAAAAACAAAATTCCGAATACAGACACAAAAAAACAAGACATTATTGATTTTATGAAGGATAAGGGAATGGAAATACCACAAAAATCAACCAAAGCCATATTATTGGATCTTATTAAAAGACAAAAATTTGAAAAAGAGTATGTTGTTGACAATCTGCTTCAGCAAAATGGCCATGAAGTATTACGTCTACCTCCCTATTACTGCATTTTTAACCCGATTGAGTTGGTCTGGGCTGCTTTAAAAAAAAGTAAGAAAACATAATCAGACCCCTCAATTAAGTGAATCGCTATTGGCCACAATAAGAGATGCAGTATCTCATATTGCTGCCACAGACCTATGGAAGCAGTGTTCTAGGCATATTATTGAAAAAGAAAATGAATATTGTGTTTTGCCTCCTGTAAATCCCGTTGTAATTCCTCTACAAGATGACTCTAGGGACAGCTCCGAAGGCGAGGATGATATATAAATACCTATAATGTAAGTCTTTATATACATTTTTATATACCTACCTGCTATGTAAATATTTGCCTATGTCAAACGTTGGAATTCTGTAATTTTTCCATTTCTTAACTTTCAGTCAACATAAATTAAACTCCCAATATAAGTATTTTTTATCCCAAATCAAAAAAATAAGAAGATAGTAAAATCCATTTATTGTGATATAAAAACATTATTATTATCGTTCTAAATAAATGCCACACGCCTATGATACGTCATGAAATTACAAAGGACGCGCCGACCAAAGGTTTTTATGCTATTTCAAGTGACTTCATACATTTTTATTTACATACTTTTTGCAGCCCATAAAATATTGATTAAGTTTTAGGTGTCTCTGATGGTTATTAAATACTGTACGGCATAAACAAAATTATATTTATAACTATAAATGATTATGAAACATTATTATGCCGTTCATTTTACATGGAACATTACGTATACAACGGTGAAGTTCTGAGAAATATGCAGTTAGAGTGCGATTTTGAGACTTGGTTACTTGCTGTGAGCCTGAAAGTTGACAACAAGATAATAGAACTTTGCGATGTAAGAGCGGTACATATATATACGGCATACATTTTTACTTGATGATTATTTCAAGTATTAATGAAGTATGTTAATGCCGTACAAAATCATTTCACCATAAAATTACAATTTTTGGGGGAAAACTATTTTCCCCGTGTAGCCATATATTCCACGAAAAATGTACGGCATTATAAAAATTGTCGTTAATTTATCAAATACTATTAAAATTAATTAAATTTTAGTTGTATCAATTCACCACCATTATACTATATAAGGGTAGGGGGTTGCGACCCAAGTTTTCTCACCCCTGTACCAGCAAATATATACAGCGTTGGTAAATTTTAAACGTAAAAAATTACAGAAAGGTAACTGTAACAATGCCGTATGTTAATTAATGAATTTTTTCCGCATAGAAAATTTCCTGAAAATTAAAATTTTTGTATGGCTTCCAGCACCATTATTTCCGTACTAAAGAAAGCCGTAAAAAATCATTTAGTCTTTTCCAACCCCTTCTGGACAGAAAATTCAATTTTCCCCTGTACTTACATGTACCACTCTCAATTGACGGCATAGTGCTAGAAGTTATTTTTTCTTGTAGTACTATCGTTCTGAGTAGGTTTCCTGCTGTATCACATGACCCCAGCTCCCGGTCTATAAGGCCTATATTTGTAAACCCTTCGTACGTGTACCATGGTAAACGTTTTGCAGGATTAGTTATTACGGTCTCATAATTTTATTGTCAGGTAGTTTTGAATAATATCTTTTCTTTTAACTTACACTCCAGTGGCGGAGCATATGTGTTCCTTGTTTTGACAATATATTGTGTTTGTTTTTTTTAGATATATTGTTTTATTTGGCCCTCTGTATACAGTTAATTAGGTTTCATCATTACTGTTAGATTCTTTTCTTTGTGTGATGGTCAAGCAAAACAAGTTCCGACTAACATCTCGGGGATTTGTGCTCCATGACTCCTAATAAATCTATATGAATGTGGACTGATTGAATACAACATAGAGCAAAACACTATTGTTTCTGATGAGTAACTGTCTGTTCTTCTGACTAATAACAAGCTTTAGTTGCTCTCAAATAAATTGAATGACAGTGTGGGTCTCTTCATCGGTGCTATTTAAAATATTGTAAGCATGGTTGATAGTGGCTCTGAACTGGTCTTTACCTGAATATTCCCTCGAAGCATCTACATTCTCAGAAAGAACATTCAGAACATCGTCCAAGTGGTGTATATTAGATAATAAAAATGGAGTTTTAATATTACCTGAGTTGAGTAACAATTCTTGGGAGTACATATACGATTTTACATTGAGACCTTTATCAACAATTACAGAGTGAGTTATGATGGGTGCTGGTTTATATTCTAACTTAAATAAAGTAACTTTATCCTGAACAATTTTATGCAACCCATATGGACATTGCTATGAACTGAAAACTGTGAGAAAGTCTGAATAATTTTGAAAACTTGTCGATTTATGATAGGAAGAATAATCATCAAAGCTACTTTGCAGTGCCTTAACTAGTTGTTCTTGTTCCTTGTCCCTCAATTTCTCATATCGGCTTCTTCCGCTTGATATGTCATTTGAAAGGTATTTTGGACAATTTGCAAAGATACTTGGAATTACAACTGCCTTTAATTTTGGATACTAAAGGGGTACAGTAATGGTCCTACCTGTCTTTTCGTCATGGAAGGTTTATTCCCAAATGATGCTGTCCTCAGCAAAGTGCAAATTGCATACTCTGATGTTTTTTGTGACCTCTAAATCACTACGAGGGATTGCATTGAGCCATCTTTTACAGTTTTCATTCGGTGGAAACGAAAATACGTGTACCTTCGGACCCTTCCCGTAATTACCGGCACAATTAGGAACGCAACACTTGTAAGGCATTTTGAAAACTTAGCTAAACAATCACGAGACACAAATATAAGTTTAAAACGTCAATAATTTACAGTTTACATAGCACAGAAAGATACATAGTAGAGGCTCAGAATTTGTGGTTAGTTGGCTGTTGGATGTTAGCGGTGTTAGCAAGGTTGCCACATATTCCAATTATTAGACTTCACACGTGACAGATTGAACATAATATCGAAAATGTATTCTTTACATACTGAGGCAGATCAGAAAGAATAATCACATCATCACTGAAGCTGTGCAGGCCTCGAGTACATCTTGCAAATTCGCCCACAGAGAGGTACAACACCGCAGAGAAATGGTGGCGCTCTTGCCAGACAGCATCGCGAAACTCCTTAAGAACATGCATAGGCCTACTCTGCGTGACGTCACAGGCTTTTCACAGCCCAGTTGTTTGGCCTTGTACTCTCGGTGGTAACGGTATGGCTTGTAAGCTAGATTAAGAAGCGCTAAGGCTGTAGTTCTTACAGTATGATTTATCGTTCTTTTTCTGAATGGGAGACTGTCGCTTCATTCCATTCTACCGGTACAACCTTTTGTTCCCTTATGCGCTTCAGGAGGTTATGGCTTTCAGGGCTTTTAACATTTTTCAGGTTGCTTATGATGTTTTCAGATAATCTTGGCGGATCTTCTTCAGTTAGTTGAGGTTTTAGAGGGGTTGTTGAATTTTCCTCGTTGTTATCGTTCGCGTCGTCTATAGAGCTTAACAAATGCTCAAGATATTGTTTCCAGCGAGCAAGGGTCTCATCCTCATCGAATATCTTCTTAACATTTCGATCCCTATAGTATAATTATGGTTCTAGCTTCTTAATCCCGGTTTTCATTCTTGCCTCCTTGATGTAAGTTTCTTTTTTTTTCTTTGTTTGTATAATTCTCTTCTATGTACTTCAGTCTATGTTTGTAGTATTTTCTTTTCTTTTTTCTTAAAATCCGTTTCACTTTCTTTCTTTGTAGGGAGTTATTACTTTCCGCTTCGCTTGTTTTCTGTGTTAGCTTTTTTAGTCGTAAGCTATTTCGCATTACCAATTCCTCTCAAGCCAATGTAGGTTAAAACAACGACATGTCCGACATCGTGTCATCCGACATATTTATTTATGTTTTTGAGAGTCAGTGCTTCATTAAAAGAATAATCGTCAAGATTCGTTATGACGTATGCCCAATTGCTATAAACTGTCCTTTTTCGCTCATCCGACAAGGAAGTTTCCACGGAGCCCCTTCCAAACGTATGCCACACAATATTCACTAATGTCTTTTAGGCAATGCAGCAGTCGTGTTGCGAAACATCCACTTCATTTGAATACTTTTTGCCAATAGTATAGAAAACGTTCTTTCCAGATGAATAAATACCATTACCAGCTTCACTCTGATACCATTTTTATCCAAATTCGGCATCGAGTGAAGTTAGAGCTTAGGCTAAGACATGGCTAGAAAAATATGATTGTAGAAAATACTAGAAATATGTAGATAGCAACGTTTAGGTTTTTAGCTAGGTTTAAAACTTGAGATCTTATAACGCAGAAATACTTAGGAGATTAGATACTCCTTGCTTAATATGTATTTTAACGAGATGCTTTGTTATAGGTGATATTATATTTGAAGCAAACTCTCAAACAAAATATATGTTTCCAACAACTTTCGAAATGGAAAATGGCAGTGAACCATTATGCATATTATCTGATTGTCAACAATCATTTCCAGGAGCTAGCTGATTTATATATGTAAGAAATATTCGCTAATATACCTTTTACCGTGTCCTAATATTCTAATTTCAGAGCTACAGGAGCTACTTCCAATATGGTATACTGATAACGTTTGCTTCTAAAGTGTGTTTTTACATTGATAATTTGTAGAGACAACTGTTTTACCTGATTGGGAAAGATGTTTCTGCAAATGACGTCTTATGTAACAGACTGGAACATGTTTATACAGAACACTTACAAAACTTTGCAAAACAAGAAGAAAAAGTTGAGGTTTCTAACAACATGCTATTTTTACGTAAGTATGATCTCAGATTACATACAGATGCGACATATATTGTAGGACTCTATGATCGGGGTGTCACCGCCTATTCTTACTATCTTACCGATTACCATGGGCGCCGGCAAGATTTATTTCGTAAGGGAAGACACATGAAATACTAAATAAATTTTCTTTTGATGATCTTTCGAGAAAAACAGCGATAAAATATTGCGTGACTTATCTTCTCAAAATTATTGCTTGAATTTGTCTCGTTGACAGTAACAGAAATCTTACCAAACACAATTTACCTGATTTTTGACAGGCTGTCGTCTCTGTGGTATTGACACAAAGTACTACCAGAGACAAAACATTTGTGATGTATTTTGGGCTGCTTTTTTTCTAGAGGACTAATCAAAGGAAGTTTATTTAGTTTTCAATGTATCATATAATTAATATGGGAAGGTAGATTTCTTCAGGGGCACAACCGTACATTTTTTTGTGCCCTGTCAAAGAAAATTCCTGCAAGCGACCATGGTAGTCGATATGATAGTTATTAAATAGGTGGTGATAACAAGATGAAAGGGACCGATAGTAGCCGTCGTATCTCTATGTAATCTGCAATATTGTAGTATACAATGACATGCTAATATTCCATGATATGATTCCTCAAATAATTTTGTAAAGACACGTTTATAGGAACATATGTCCATAATGGTTTAAATGTTTAGCTAAGTGGTGTGTAAGAAAAAGCTGTTTTGTTTTGAGCTATTTTGTTCGAAGAAAACAAAGTGCGTTTTTGAGAGATAAACGTTTTTTTTGCAGAATGGCAGTTAGAGCATGGAGAATCTGCTACATCAGTTATTGAGCAATTGGCATTCCTTTGTCGGAAGGAACTACAAAAAAAGAACGTAGCTTTGACAACCATAAGCGAGTTCAAGAAGCAGTTCAAAATTGACGATTATGATTTTGAATGGACTGTAATGAATGTTATAGCCTCTTTACAAATGTGGTCTTTACTCTCGGAATTTTTCATCAAACATGTAAGTATTTGATTCAGTTCCGGTACATAGCAGAACAGTTGGTAGACAATCAAACCGTTACAAGCGCGACAGCCATATATATAATATAATATTTTGTAAATAATACAGGCCGACAAAACTGAGCCGCCCCTCTTACCCAGAAACTATAGTATACTTTCTAAAGGGTTCTTGATGCGCTGAATCCCAATCAGTGGTCCAAATCTCTCAATTGGGTCCAGTTTCCGAGACATTCTATGCTAAAAGTGCTAAAATAGCGATTACTGTCTATATTTGCAAGACGGATTATTTTTTTCAATCAGACAAAGTGCAAGCCTCTTTCAAATGCCGTTGAGTTCGCTGGAATATATTTTTGTTTCGCTGAGATGTGGCACCTTGAAGTTTTCATTTTCGGAATTTCACTATACATGATACCTGTGGCTTGGATTACATTACTCCAAAAAATTAATAACAAGTTGATGTATTTTATGATTTAAACTAAAAAAAACATAAATCCTCAACTCTACATCCATAAAATATCTTGAACTTACCCAAACCATGAGCCTACAACCCACCCTACCCTACCAATACTGAGCTTAACGTTCTTACTATCAATTGTACACACTTTTTTTAATGAAAACTGCTTTCTTATAGTAAATAAAACCGATCTAGCTTGCAATATCCAAACCTTGTCCAAAGGGTAAGCCTTGGATATTGTGAATTAGATTGACGCAGTTCGCTGGACTCAAACCACGAACTTTGTGATGGAACGCTCGATGTGAGCATTACATTATAGTGCTCGACTTCCATCCGTCACCGTCTTTAAACTCCTTCTTGAAGTGTTCAGTGGTGGCTCATTGGCAACTGGTGGTGCCTGTCGTCTACCTCCTAAAATATCGTTATTATCAAATGAATATTTTTGATTATTATTGAAGCTTGACCACCGATGGGATTACTGTAATCATCTGTATTATTCCGAATGTTATCACCCGCATCAGCATAGGTCACGTGGTGGCGCCGAGTGTGAGGCGCGTGCACGCGAGCGCGGCTCATCGCACCGCGTCGGCATCTTCGCCAGAGAGGCCGACCTAGATGTTCTGATTTTTACCTCGGTTGTCGATTCCGGGGCTCATCCGGGAATCGGCGACACCACAGAATCTTGGTTGGGCCTCATTATGGTTGGAGGAGACGGCAAAACAGTCGAGATCTTGAGCCCCAAGTTTCGCACCGAGAACTGGCGCCGAACTAGTCCGCTGTACCACCGGCGCGAAAAACTGTCCCGTGAGGCGTGGTGTCGGAGGCTGTAGGTCTCTTATGACCTGACCTCAAAGCGATGAGTGATCTCTGGAGACTCCTGTTCTCGGAGAGCAGTATCCACACCGTCTGCGATGAGGGTACGCAAGCGGCCCTTGCGCTGTCGTCATGTCGACTTCCTATATGTGGACATCATCTTCGTGGTGCTCGGCTGATTCCACGCCTGCAGGTGATGTCTAGATGGCGCACAGGGCTTGTTAGAGATGAAAATCTCTCGGTCCACCCTTTTTGTGCGTAGTGTGCGTGAGGATCTCTTTCCTTTGAAAAGAGGTTGTGGGGGTAGAACCGCCTGTTTCTCTTTTTTCAAACAGAATGGCTACCCCACAACTCATAATAGGTTTTCGGTGTATGTGTTTACGGTACCCGATTTTCACACTATGTTTATTATGTATTTACACGTCGGCATGGCGATTTCAGAGGCTCACAGCCCTCCAGGTTCCATTTGACAGTCGTTGTTGATGGGGGTGTTATTGGGAAGGACCTGCTTGTCCAAGCAGTCTACTGTTCCCCACCCGCTGTGTCGTACAACAAATGAGGGTTACCAAGGCTGACCAGAGCGTGAAACTCCAATAATAACCAGGATGTCGGATCGATTGGCTGTATCTCGATGGGAAGGGATTCGGTTGAAATCTCTCTGCGGACTGCTACTCGGACGCTGCGGGTCGGAGGAATCTCGGAGGGCACTTGTAGAATCGGATAGGTTAAACTGGAAGCGAATCTGTAGAACGAATTGGTTTGGGTGCTACCAAATGGTGATACTGGCAACCGAATGCACGGCAAACATTTTAGCGTAATTATATAGTGTTTGTTCGGACCAAACACTGAGCGCTGGCGCTGGTTCGCAAAAAGGCAGAGGACACTCTTGTGTGAAATATGATCATTTCTGACCACTTCCGATCGTGATGAAAACTGGCAGGATTGAAGGTCTAAACGTTCTGAATCTGATTCTGAAGGAATTTTTTCCTAACTCAACGTATTAATGAGCTAGAAAACGCGATTCGCGACATGCCTGAGTATTTATCTGTTCTCGGCGGACTTGGGACTTAACAGTGGGATTTCCAACATTGTTGAGCCGTTTTGTGATTGGGTTTTGTTAGAATCTTCTGTAATATGGTATGCCAAGTTTTGTTAAGGGATATTCCTTTATCTTCTCGGTTAAAATTGTTCTTGTGTTTTGTAATTTCAATTGCCTCTCTGAATAGCCGGGTGGAATAATGTGTTGCTGTGGCCAGTATTTCAGTTATGACAAAGAGGACATTATGGTCATCTTGAGGGAAGACGTGTTCTGCAACGACGTTCTTTTATCCAGGTGTTAACACTTCTCTTCGTAGATCCGACATAGACTGTTCCACACGAACATTGGACACTGTATACCCCTGCATAACTCAGTGGATCCCTTGGATCTTTTTCAGATCTCAGATGCTCTTGAAGTTTCTTCGTCGATTTGTAGATCATTTTGATGTTATGTTTGGATAGGATCTTCCCCATTCTGTTATCGCTGAGAGGTATGGAGGTTCCCTGTCTTGCGTTTTGGCTGTCTGTGTCATATTTCTTCTTGGACACACAGAAAGCCGAAACGCACAAGGAACTGCCTTCCTACCATTACCATACCTCTCAGGAGTAACAGATAGAATGGGGAAAATCTTGCCCAAACATAACATCAAAACGATCTACAAACCGACCAAGAAAATTCAAGAGGATCTAAGATCTGCGAAAGGCCCACTCAGTTTTGCAGGGATATACAGAATCCCATGTTCGTGTGGAAAAGTGTATGTCGAAACTACGAAGAGAAGTGTCAACACCGGTATAAAAGAACATAAAGGCAACTGCCACCTGGGACAAACAGAAAAATCGGCAGTGGCAGAATACGTCCTCATTGAAGACGACCATGTATGTCCTCTTTGGCAAAACTGAAATACTAGCCACAACAACACATTATTCCATCCGGCTAGTCAGAGAGGCATTTGAGATTCAAAAACTCAAGAACAATTTCAACCGAAAATATGAAGGAATACCCCTTAACGAAACGTTTCATACCATATTACAGAACACTCGGACAAAACCCAATCACAAAGCGGCCAAAAATGTCGTAAATCCCACCGTTCAGTCCCAAGTCCGCTGAGAACAGATCAATTCCCAGGCACCACCACACATGGCTTCAGTCGTCAACGAGCCACCGCGTCGAATACTTAGACGTCGATTGCAGCGCCATTGAAGATGGGTATCGCAGTTGTGCCGAAAGCTTTGGAACTATAAGCTCCAGCCCACGGCTGAAAGAAGCAACAGAGAGCATTGAGACCGGCCGTGAAGGCCTACGTGTACTAAAAACCCATTATTTTGCATGGCGATATTGTCATATTAACAACACGCAGAGACACGGTTGTTATTTTTTTAAACGAAAAATCGTGTACCGGATTGAAGAAATCAAGCGATCTTTTCATGTCAAGCGAAATCAGTAGCGTATCATCGATGTCAAAATAGGCACGTAAAAATCCATACGAATGCCACTGGTGGAGTTTAAACTAATGTGGTACATTAAATAATGCCCCGTGATACATAGTACATGTATGCCAATTTTCAGTATATCTTCAGTAGTATTTCAGATCTTATTAATAAGGTGATTTATTTTTGAAAACTTTAGCACCATCAAATATAGACGAGAATTGGACTACGGATTCGGGTTCAGTGTATCAAAAACCTTCGGTGAAGCATATCCTGGTTTCTGCGTAAAAACCTTATTGGTCTATGTAATCATCAGATACAAACTATATGGCATATTCCACGAGCTATCTTTTAAAGTTGCACGAAATACTAAGGTGTTGCACAATCATATTTCCTTCCAGGAATTTGGGATATTCATTAATTTTGTTAATATCTGTCAACTGTTCAAGCTACCGGCTAAAGAGTTGCGCAAAATGAACGTTGTGGTTTGAATAACTTATAACGCGAATGTTTCTCAAAAATGATTCATACATTTAGTAGAGGAGCTATACACTACGGAGTATTGGATCAAAATAATCGCATTTTATTTTCAATGCAAGGGATCTATTGGTCTACCTCAACAGTGACCCCATTCCATTTGAAAAATGTTCCTAGATGGCGCCCAGCCACCATCTTGAAATTTTTAACTGCCAATTTTACGCTAAAATATAGTATTTATGCATCAATTTCATCACCCCCAATTTCAGTTTGCTAAAATTGGGGAGACTTTTCTAAAAGGCACTTTATCTTAAACGGTTTTCAACAACCAAATATTTCTAAGCTGATCAGATGTTTTTATTTCCCACGCCTACTGGCTAGGATGTATTGTAACTTCGAAAAGTTTCAAAAATGAGTTAGTTTGTTTTTTGGATGTTATATGACATGTATATCACGAAAAACCATGTCACTCATTTCCGTCGGTCGGTCTGTTCGTCCAGTATTCCTTGGCCCGTCTATAAGATGGAAAGTGCTGGTCGGATTTTGATCGAATTTTCACACAAGGTTACCACTATACCAAGGACGAAAAAGCTTTGTAGTTTTTGAAAATCGGTCCAGTGGCTGCGGAAAAAAGGAGAAAGTCAAAAATCGCTCAAACTTTTTTTGACGTGTTAGAGGATCCTGATCATTATAGGAAAAATGTTTAGGGACAAAAAATTGTGGGGAGGGGTGGAGGAGAGTCTATCGCAATTTTTTGATGTTAGTATATTAAGACACTTCCAACCTTGGTAATTCTACGCACCTATTAGACATATTTCACACATCATAGATTGCCCCTTACATTTGCCCTTAAAACTTAAAAAGAAAATGTTTTCTACAAACGTCGTGCTTCTGCTGACTAACGGCCGCGGCCAGAGTGCCGATGCTCGTATATGTCCTACATCACTGGCGCTCTGTGGGCGCTTTGCCGCCTGTGGCCCATCATGCATTCAATATTGGGGAAAGACGACACGCCGTTGTCAGATGAACGATACTACGGAAAGGGAAAGACTGTTATGGACTAATTGTACGGACCTGTTCTACGGACTTCATCCGTTTAATTTCTCCATTATACATGTGGGAAGTGCAGAGGCGTTATACTTAACGCCATTTTTTGGATGTTATATATGTACATCATGAAAAATCATGTCACCTATTTTCGCCAAACTGTCTGTCGGTTTGTTCGCAAATCCTTGGCCCGTCGAAAATTTTTCCACAAGGTTGCCACTGTACCAGCTACGAAAAGGCTTTGTAGTTTTTAAAAATCGCTCCTGTGGCAGCGGAAAAAAATTCCAAAAACGAAAACAATAAAAAAAGTGTTTTACATTTATACTCATCTTCCATCGTGAATAAATAGTTTGAATAGTAGGAGGTGGTTTGAAACAGTGATCAGTTTCACTGCTTTCACAGCCGCTATCTAATCACTAATGCCAAATTGTTGGAATTCAATGTTTACATTACGGCCGTAATCCTTGGTCTTCTTTTTGTATGTTTATCTTTATGTATTTCGATTATTAAAACTATCTCTTACTAAATACTCGGAAAATTTAGATTTCTTATGTTTTAATTTTTTCCGTCTGGATTGGTCATTCGTTTCAGTGTGCATTAGTATGTGGAGATCGTTTATTGCATATTTGGATAAACCAATTCAAAAGATGAAGATTAATATAACATACTATGGGGTTTTAGTTATTAGCTACTGAGATGTAAGGTGATTTGCCCAGAAAAACCGTCCACTTCGGTTACCCCTCAATCCGCCATTTTGAAATTTGGAGTGCTGAATTTTTATCAAAAAAACGTACACACTTCAGATTTTATCTTATTTGTTACTTTTTCGAATTTTCATTTTTGCTCATACGGGGTGGTCGAAAACGCGAATTAACTTTTTCTCAAAAATTTCAAATGTATCACCCTGTATATTTGTGCAGGTTTGAATTCAATTTTTTATGAGCTTTTTTTGGTATAAGGTTTGATTCAGATAAAATCACTAGATTTTGAGTTATTAAGCTTTTAATAGAACAACACACCAAATAAAAGGAAAAAAAATCACATCATCCATGGGAATAAAAGATAAACAGTGGGCTAGTTCCCTATTGCCACTAAGAGTACAGATTTGTCGTAAAAACTAATAACAATCAGAACAGTATAAATCAGCTTCGGGAGTAATAGAGCAAAACAACTATAACAACAGCATAAATAAACAACTATCAATACTCAAGACCTAATCTACAAAAACTGCTCGAAAATATCTCCACCATATTGAATACACAGCCTTAGTCTTTTTACCGTTGCACATCCCTCAGCATGTGTTCCCTTATGTTGTGAAAAGCGTCCTTAATCCTTTCCTTCATATTTTCCGGGGTATATGGTGAATATCTATAAACCTCTTGCTTAACGTAGCCCCATAGAAAGAAGTCCATCGGTGTCATATCTGGTGATCTATGAGGCCAAGATATAGGCACACCACGACCGATCCAACGATTGTTACTCCAGGTATCCAAATAGTTACGCACACGATTATGTTAATGCGCAGGTGCGCCGTCATTTTGGAAGTACATATGCATCCGAGTTTGCAGGTTGACATCCTCCAAAAGCAAAGGCAAATGTTCGATCAAAAAATTCAAGTATTTGTATCTGTTAATCTGTTGTCGAAAAAGAAAGGAAGTATTTTGTACCTGTTAATCTGTTGTCGAAAAAAAAGGCCCGATAACTTGTTTGCCAATAACTCCTCCCCAAATATTCAAGCTCCATTAATTTTGGAAATCTATTTGCCTAACCCAGTAAGGGTTTTCCCTCGCATAATAGTGCATGTTATGCCTGTTGACAACACCTATTCTGTTAGAAGTTGCCTCATCGCTAAAAAGAACCTTATCCAGGAAAGTAGTGTCTTCACTAACTTTATTTTTGGGACCTCGGTTGGCCGCGTGGGTCAGAGTGTCGTGCTACTGATCAGCCGGCCGGCCGGGCCGCGAATTCGAATCTCGCCTTCGCCATGGATGTTGTGTGTTTGTTTTAGGCAGCAGCGGTGGCCGCAGTAGTAGACCCTTCGGTCTCCTGATCAGCCGCCGTGCGCTGTGCGGGTTCGAGTCCCGACCCAGGAGAAATGTTTCTCTTGGCCATGGATGTTGTGATTGTCCGTAGGTGGTAGATGGTCTCTGACTGTCGAACGCGGAGGTACCACCCGGCGGTTCTCGTAGGCGGAGCCAGAATGTGTGCATGTTGCATGCACACGTGTTCCCTCGCCAGAGTCCGTGTGGCGTCCCCCCTTTCCCATGTATCCCCCATAGCCCCACGGTACCCAATGGGTGCTTAGGCCTTAGGACTTCGTGGTAGTTGGAGTATAAAAAAAAAAATTAGCATTATTCTACTAAACTCCATTCGAGCTGCGAAATCCTGACGACGAAGGCCTTGATGCAAGCATAGGTGATATGGATGGTACCTATGTTTGTGAATAATCCTTTGGACAGAAGTTCTGCATATATAAGTTTTTGCTCCAATTTGCCGTGCACTTACATATCCTGCAACTTTAATAGAACCTCCAACTGATTCGCCTCATTGGTGACACTTGGATTTATACATTTTTTACTATATTCCACTGCTCCACTTCATTCGAAACGTACTCGTAGTTTGGAAAATGTTCCCGGCCTTGGATGTCGCTGTTACAAGTTCAAAATTTATTACCTCTAATACAGCCAGAAATTGTACTTATTTTTTGCAAATCGTATATATTATTTTTTGTTGTTGTAAAGAGCAACGTTTCTCAGAAAAGAAGGTTTGTACTGTTACCTGTGTCTGTTATCTCAAGCCAAAACAGAGACAACTAATATCTAACAGATCTGCTGATATAGATGAACTCCTTTGGAAAACCACTAATTTGAGAATGTCTTATGTACCTGCAACTCTGTTCTTATGATTTCCATCTAGGTTTAAGAAATTGTAGCTAGAAATAATATGCTGTATATCCTTTCCAGTGGCTTTATTGATTTAGTTAGTGACATTGTATGTTGCATTCTGCATTTTGTATACAATGTAAACAGTATTTTATGGATTCCACCTGGTGAACCTGCCCTAGTGAACCTGAAACAAAACTAAATAAGTATCAGATACTTCACTCACCCTACACCCTAGGTAGGTAGCTTACCTTCTTTTTTCCTCTTTCTTTGATGCCTGTATGAGCAAAAATTAAAATTCTAAAAAATAACAAATAAGATAAAAGCTGAGGTGTGTAAGTTTTTTTTGATACGAAATTCAGCACTCCAAATTTCAAAATGGCGGACTGAGAGATTGTCGAAGTGGGAGGTTTTTCTAGACAAAACACCTTATATCTCAGTAGCTAATTACCAAAACCCAATAGTATGTTATATCAATTTCCTTCCTTTGAATTGGTTTATCCAAATATACAATAAAATTTGAGGCATTCCATTTGAAAAATCACAACTTTGATATGTAGGTCTAAATTGGGACACCCTGTATAATGGCCAATATTTTAGAAATGTGCCCTCAAATGTAATGTATAACATCCCATAAATAGATTTTCCCAAAATATATTTGTTTATGAGAAATATTCCGTCCACACATGGATGGGCCACCCTGTATATGACATATACTGTTAAAATTGGCACACTTAACTAATGAGCTCGAAACAGCGCTGTCTGCAGTTGGCCGTGGTTACAGAGATGGAAAGCAAATATGTCCATTTCAATCGTGTCTATTTATGCATAGAAAGCCATTGTTGGTCTGCTCTGTGAATACTTTGTATTCCGGCTGCAAGATGATCTACTGTTTTGGTGATACATCGTAGGGGTTTTCCGTCATCTTTTCGATGATGCTAAAGATCAACTTAGCCAACAATTGTAGGTGGAGATCGTCAGATTTTGTCGCTTAACTCCGCACTTTATTTATTTCATATTATTTTCATTTTCAAAGTCTCCTTTGCTAATCAGTTTCTTTAGCAAAATGGTCCTCGGAGATGACCTTCCCAGTGACTTAATTACTGGTTTCTGATGACCCTGAATTGTTTTTTTTATTGTTATCAGCGACTTTGTGGGTTGTATTTCATTATGCATTTAATCACCGCAAAGGGTAATCAAAGTATTTTTTGAAACATTATCAACAATCTATTTTCAACACATTAATAATCAACAATTTTGATATAGCAGTCGAACTACTTCTAGCTTTGCATTGAAATATGCATTACAGTCAATCATATTATATTCCGCGAACTGACTTGTACAGCTATTTTAATCAAATGGAGATCTCATTAATGAATGCAAGATTCCTTTTATGTATACGAATACATCCTTTGAATTATCTTCATATTTCAATTTATATTTTTATTGTAGAACTGGTTCACCAAGAAACAAGTGTTCAAAACAATTATACCATCAGATGTATTTGTGTATGGACTGAGTAAACATTGTTCTCCAAAAGAAGTATTGGAGGAATATCTGGTCTACACAACTTCTACTGAAAAAAGCTTAAGATTAGCTCAGAAATTAGGATGTCATAAATTTATTATTCAGTACTATACTAATCAGAAAGACCGATCAGCTCTTATCGCTTACAAAGGAAGGGTTCTACCACACAGTGAAGAATATTTTTTCATTGAAAATGCTATACAATCCTTGGTAAGTTATCTAACTATACGGTTTTTGTAAACGGTTGCTTGCCCTTATATCAGAAATTTACTTTCATCTATAATTTTGAATTTCCTGAAAAAAAATGGCATCATGTAGCTTCACCCTGCACTTCATAAGCACCTCTGATATCAAATCATAGAAGATTATATTCAGCACAAGTTAATCCCGTTTTAAAAAAGTTGAACATGTATAACAAGGGAATTAAATGTATCATTTCAGTCAAACAGGCTCATACAATTAGTCGATAGTCCCCACAGATTTGACATCATTGCGATCTAGCCTACTGTCCTACCGATAGTACCGACCACCCAGCAACGAGGCAACCCAGCATGGCGTCATAATTCAGTAATTCAATTATCCCTTAGCATTCGAAGCCATTAGACGTACGCAAATTGAGTTGTCCGTCACGCGTCTAACAAAAACATGTCTATAGTTTAAGTTGTAAGGGCAAATATACGGGGAACTCTATGATGTGTGGAATATAAATATATGAAATAGATGCGCAGTCCCTAGAACCCCCATACTCCAATCTTTAACCACTGTAAAAAATGATTGGGATCCTCTGAAAGGTCAAAAAATGAAGTTTGTGCAACATTTATTTTCTTGTTTTCGTTTTTGGCCTTTTTTCCGCCTCCACTGGACCGATTTACAAAAACTAAAAAACTGTTTCATCCTTAGCATAGAAACCTTGTGTGAAAATTTCATCAAAACCCGAGCGATACTGTAGACGGGCGAAGGATTAGTGAACAGACTGGACAGTGGCATAGGAAGTAGTTGCCATCTTCATTTTTAGCTCATGATTAAATGTCCATAAGGCTTCCTCAACCTCTTGAATGGTTAAAATGGTCCAGATCCTATAATACTTTGTTTTGCGACATGTCGACGCTTAAAAAAATAATTCCATAGTGGAAATGCGGTTTATTATTTTTTAGTTATTTCTTGACACTGTAATATCGATTCATGTCATACTTCCTTATGAGCAACAAGATAATGAACATTATTTCTGTCTATCTATATTAATAGACGTTACTTTAAACTAGAGCTGTCTGTTGGTAATATATTTGGTTCTAATTTGAATTTAAGGTTTTTTAGCATAATTTTCTCTGTCACCTCAAACAAAAACTACCTCTTGAAGATGGTAAAGCATATGCAAGTGTGAATGATTATTCCATTACATGTTCGAGGCATTGTGTCTCAGAACCATGGGACATTATTGGGCCAGTTGCTCCAGCTTTTACTTACAGGTTTCTTTAGTATTGCATTTACCTAATAAATTGCAAATACGTCAGTGCCTTTACTTGCAAGTTTATCAAGAAACCATGTGTTCTGTTCGACGTCTATGCAGCTATTTTACAAAAGTATGGCGTCATTTTCTACTATGATTCCACATGACAAAAAATCCATTACAGTTGATGACGATAAAAAACTGCGAACACCTAAAACACCACATTTCGAAAAAATTTACGATAATTATTGTATTCCTCACTAATCATTACCAATAATGTTTCCGCATGCAATTGATTCCTGAAATCATATCTATTGAAAAGCAAATGTGACAATCTGGGTCTGGTCCGACCATACTTGATTAAGGACAAGTATTTGGTACGAAAATTAGTGCTGTTAAAAACTCCATTTCTGTATAAAGAATTTTTATAAGGAAAAGTGGTATTTTTGTAAAAACCAGTCGCAATATTCAAGTCTTCATTCATAATCATCTTCGTAAAGATGCACAGCTTAGATAACAATGAGCTATGAAAATCTCGTGTCAGTGTCAAAAACGGCCGCCATTTCGGCGTAGAAAGTCGAATGTAAATTCCCCCAGTACAACAGTGAAGATTACACTTGTCCCGTGTCAGAGTCAGCGCTCTCCTATTGTGAAGATATGTTTTCTTTTTAAATTGTAGGAAATTTCAGGCTGATAAAACATGATATAACTCAAAAGCAAGCACAATTTGATGCAAATAGATGTTTGTAACATAACCTCAAAATAGAGTTCTGACACGGAGAGGTAGAAAACTATGACAATCAAGGAGGCCATAAAGGCGCCCTACAATTGTAGGGACGACTGACGATACGGGCCTTAGGCTCAGCAGCAGCCGGTGTTGCCTCGTGTCATGCCAGCGGCCGCATATATTTTTTGCAATCTTAAAATGATAGTAGAGTTTCATAGCTGATTGTCATTTAAGCTGTGATGCTGGTGTAATTGATACTTGACCACTATTTATGCTTACGTAAAATTCATCACACGGAATTTTTTTATATTTGACACTCGGCAGCAATTTCTCTTGTTGAAACATTTTTATGAATCTCTACATACACCAAGACATCGATTTCTTTGTCCTCGTTGCCAATAAAATTATCATTTTCTGCCACCTCATTAGGCTCATATCGCATTTTTGAAACCAATTTTGGGAAGTAATGCCGTGTTGGATGACGACACTCGGGGAATCTTTCTGCATAAATTCTAGTAGCTTGTCCGGCATTTTGCCTGGATTCTCAAAAATTAAGAAGCATATCAACTTGTTCGCTTCTTGTATAATTCTGCATGGCTAATTATTAAACTGAGAAAAACAGGCAGGGAACGTAATAATGTATTAATCTCTTGATAAAATTTATTTGGGAATCTGACAGCTTCAAGACAACAATTGATTATTGTTTATCCTAAGCTACCTTAATTTTCTGTCAATGCTGCCGATGCCGGCTACGGCTGGTTGATACTGTTATGGCAAAATGCATAATAAGGTAATTCATGTAGATTTTTCTTAAATACTTTCAACTAAAATATCGTTTGTGTGGTATCAAATTGTGGGTAAAAAATGCTCTTTTTAGCTGTGCTAGTAAGCCACCCTCGGTCCATTTGAACAAATTGACTTACGACCATAAGTACGTTTTTGCAAACTTTAAACGAGTCTGAAGAGGCTATAAACAACAAAAGACAATCAAATATATTTTTCTGTGACTGCTTAGTCCAAAATTTACCATTTTATCATATTCATGGCACACTGAATTGAAAATTAAAAATTACAAGTATATGTAAGTTAAATGTCAAAAGGTAGCAAATGCAGCGTCATTGTACTTGGAATGTCATTTTCTATTCAAATAAGCAAGAATATACCGGGTGTCCCATTTAAACTAACAAATTTAGAGTCATCTCCGGCTAAACAGTGCATATTTATGTGATATATCTATATACTCAATTTTATTTTCTAAATCCAAAGTACTTCGAAAGAGAGACGGGAAAACCCGAATTTTAACAAATTTGTTTCAATTTTAAGTCAGGAAGACTTTATTTGTTGTGGGATTTTAAAATAATTTTCAGATTAACATTGACACTGTCTCTTCTTTACATGATAAAATAATTATCCTTAAGAGACTTTAATCTTGTTCTTTTGCCCCCTACTATAAATAAAAAATAGCAAAAATATGTTTTTGCTTGCCATTTCATTTTTCTTTGGTTCAGCAATGTCTATCTTTAGGACACAGTCCCATGTCGTTGAAATATTCATATAAAAAGCCAATGTACCAAAGTTACCCCTAATATATCAACTTACAAAATAAATTAATGATGTTTTTGTGCTATTGTATACTTGGAAGTGTTGGTACATTGCCCTTCAGTAGTCAAAGCCCAGTTATTTTTGCAAGATCATGTTTAATTAAAGAAAAACTTGAAAAACCGTACCAAAGTTAAACCCGGTTTATATGCTCTAAGATATTTCAATGCAAAAATTTCATAAGTGCGATCAACTTGAGGTTTAAGTTGTTTTCAGGTCCAAAAACCCTGCTCATAGACTCTGATCCTTTTCGACTTTTTCACGCTTAAACCTATTTGATGCCATTTTCATTGGAGGTGTTGGTGTTCGCCACTATGCTTTTTAAGGAAAAATAGTTTTTTCAATGGTTTATCGAAGTGTCGTTTGTAATTACGAGGAAAGCGTTTAGTAAACTACAGGTACTGGGATTGCTATTTGAAATTTTAAAGTAATTTTTGAATAGGGGTGCATTTATGGTTCAACAAAAAATAAAATTTACGACATTTTAATTCGCCATCACCACAATAGAGCAAAACTCCCGATTTTTATTTTTTTTAATACGAGGGCAGCATTTGAGAAAATATGTTTTGATGATGTTTTAAGCTTTAACGATGTGCTTATTCCAAATCTTTCTTTGAAGAAAATACATAGTTCTACAACAAATTAAGTAGAGTATTTCTACAATTTATTATCTATGGGCATATCATTTTTTTAAGCGTATCCGATACTTTCCTGGCTTCCCTTTTTTTCGAGCACCAAATGTTTGTAGTTTTGGGCAAATCCCAAGAGTCCCTCGTTCAGAATAGACGCTAGATGCCTCTATTCATATATTTCTCCTGTTGAATAAAGATTTGTTTTCAAAAAAATATATAAAATTATAGAACTACATACCTCTCTCATTGGAGAGGTTTGGTTCAAACTTATCGAGTTACAGCTAATGGACTAGAAGGTCTAACATGTATTATGCAGTTATTTATTCATAATGTTTTGTTTTGAAGCATTATTATTGTTCTAGGATAAGAAGTGGAAAAACTGAAGTTTACAAATACAACTTTTGATGTGCTAGAATCATATCTGGGGAAGGCCATGGATGTATCTCCGAAAAAAAAAGAGAAAACTGGATCAGAAGCATTTTAAATACGGCTTGGGAGGTATTGAGAAGAACTAGATATTGTAATATTATGAAGATATGTGAAATACAAAAGTACAATGGTATAGTAGTAGTATGCCGTGCTATAATTTTAATTGTAATATTTGGCAGTCAGCATTTTGCTCTTTCCAAATACTGATAAAAATATGGTTTTATTTTCATCTTTGAACTACAATATATAACATATCTACCCAGAGCATCAGTTACACTAGCATAATAACCACAATGGTTATTCGCTGCTGAACTTGGATTTATCGGATACTGTAATGCTGCGTACGACTGTGTTGAAGGACAGAAGTTGGTGAAATTTGTGTTCAACCGTGTTTTTAAAACCAGAACTTATTGGATGATTTAACGAAGATAATTACTAAGTGTACAGCCGATGCTATACACTCATATCTGCGGTATATTGGTGGTTTGCACCACTTTGGGCTAATGTGAAAACTGGCGGATGTTTCTGCAAGATCTCGGCGTCTTTGGTGTTGCCGAGTTCATATGATTTCGTAAAACTTTTGAACCGGCCACCATCACGAACATCGATATATTAAGGTGACCTACGCAATTCACTACATGCAGGTAGTATTGGCCCAAACATTTATTTTAGAATAACTTTTATACAGTATTGTTATTAATCAATAACCGGTATTCTTGAAAGTTAGTCAGATACTGATATTCAACTGGTTTGTGCTTGGTTTCACGCATTTCATCAATGCAGTGCAGTACAGTTACGATATCTGCATTTGACTGCTTCAGCTTCATCTACTGATACGAAAAAAGGTTTACATTTGATGCGCAATTTTTTTTGAGAATTTGTGTAATAACACTTCAGGGGTCGTTTGTACAACAAATGTGCAAAATACAAGAGCAGTTGTGGGACGTTGGCATTGTCTAGTCAAACATATTTACTTACTCCTTGTCACGCGTTTTTTTGGTTAATTAATAAAACGCAATGGTAAATACTACCTAACGGTTGGTCCAAGCAAAACATTGTCTAGTGGCGTGCAAATTTAGGCCCTAGCTCAACAAAGCGGAGAGTAGGGGGGTTAAGAGCGCCAGTGACTTTGGACGGATTAAGCCACAACTCCTCGAGAACTTGTTTTGCTTGACCACCACACAAAAGGAGAATCTAACACAGATGACGAAATTTAAGTAACAGTACACACAGAGAGAGCCAAATAAAACAAGATATTAAATGAATCACAATATATTGATTAATAAAAAAACGCACATGTGCTCCACTACTGGAGTGCGAGTAATAAAAAAAAGCAAGGATATTATAAATCTTAAATACAACCTGACAAAATTATTTTTCGAGATAACCCCGCGAAACGTCTACCATGGTATACGCCCGAAGTATTTACAGATATATTGCGCCTAAATATTAAACTTATCTGTAGGTCTTCTTTGTCACGCGCGGCCGAGGTGTCCTCAACTCTGGTCAAAAAGTGGCCAGTAGTCTGCAAGTCACTGGGCAGGGGCTGCTTGCCTCGTTGCCAAAAATTATGGTAGTAAAAAACCCTAGAGAGAAAGACTGTTTAAAATGTACTCTACTCTCTGTCTGAGATAAAACTTCGCATTGAAAACAATCGCACTTGAAGAAAAACCATGTACATTTTTTTGTACAAGAAAAGTAAAGCAAAGGCAAAAAAAGATAAAAATGTATTAAACTGATATACCCTTGTTCGAAAAAGTTATGGCAGCTCAAAAATCAAAATAATGATCAATGTAATTGAAGGTGCCATGTAGGCACGGCCCCCATATTTGAATTCGTAGAATGTCCAATAAAATCAAGAGGCCTCTAAGAATTTCAATAAGCAATAATAAATGTATAAAGATCTAAGAAATTTTTAATTAGAATGATATTTTACCTATTCACATCAGGGTTTTTTCAAGGGGATAGCTTCCACCAATTTGCAAAACTGAAACAAGATGCAACCAACTGGAGGAGAAAGGATGATGATTCTCTTCTGTTTCTATTGACTAAAAGAAAGCAGATATTGAACGAACGTCATCAGGACACGCTTTAAGGCACGTGGTCCGAAGGTATATAAAAAAGAGCTTACCGCTGAGGGTCATAATCCCATACAAAAAATGGAAAACGTAGCACCCAAACCAAAAGGACTAAACTTAAGTTACACAAAAAAAGGCTGCTAGTCCATGAATTGGCGCTTGGGGCCTAATATACCAGAGTCCGGAAAATGATGAAACGACCCCTGCACCACGACCTCAACGGAAAGAGAAAAGCGAAGCACGCAGAATACGTAACGTTCTAGAAGGAGGTATCTTGAGTGGCCTTGAAGGAGATATGTTTTATAGGAAACCAACTAACGGAAAAAACTACAGAGTTTTTTGCTGATCGTCAACACCATACTGCATCGCTGAGACAGAAAGTTATAATACGAGTGAAATTATACAATCAATAAAATATTAAATTTTCCAAAAGAAAATCATTGAAAAGGGTTTGGCCTAGGAATGGGCACTACTACCCTAGATACGTTAGCCTTAAGCGTCAAGTCCAAATCGATGACTTAGGAATTATATTTGATCAAAAAATATCTTTTTCAACTCATATCGAAACGACTGTTTCGTCGGCTAATAGGATGTTGGGATTTATCATGAGGAGCGCTAGAGAATTTTCTATTTCAGTACTAAATATTCTATATATATATATATATAAGTTATGTACGTAGCCAGTTGGAGTAAGGTATCTTGATTTGGTAACCACACTGCGCAACACACATGAGTAAGGTAGAACGTGTTCAGAGAAAATTTTTGAAATATATGCATTTTAAGAAAACTGGTTTATTCCCGGAAAGAGGATTTGATTACTCTTTGCTGCTTGATGAAGCAAACTTTATTTCTCTTAACACACGACGAGTTTCTTGTACAAACTCATTCATGGGGACATAATATGTGAATTTTTGTTAGGTAAAATTCCATTTACCGTGCTCAGACGCAACACCAGAAATTCTAGAGTATTTTATTGTGAATACCCTAGAACCAACATTTTAGCTAAGACGCCTATTTCGATAATTTGTAACAATTTTAATTTGATATGTAACAGCTGTGACATCAATTTTTTCCCTATCTCGCTAGTTTATAGTTCTATTTTGCAGATCACATTTAATATGTAACATTTCTTAATATCTTTTTTTATATTATTCAAGTGTTTATTTTTATATAACATTAGCTTTATTTTTTTCTTTTACATAAAACGAAATGTATATCTATCTATTATCAATGAAGAGAAATTCAAATTACGGATAAGTGATAAATAGTAAAAAAAAGGTTACTTGATTTTGGCACGTAACATCCTGCTTTTTCATTGTTTAGATTTTTTAAAGTTATATTTACCAATACCATGAAGATTAACTGTTATACAAGTTATATCCATGCTCACCCTGTACATGTATTATAATAATTTTTATACTAAGTACATAGATTCTTGCGAGCGAAGATGGTGGAATGTTATCACGTGCCTAGCTAGATGTTCTCATGCCTCATCCTTATCATGTTCTACTGTACTGTACCTACTCAATTCATGTGTGAGGGAATCTTATCACTTTTGGTCTGACCTTCATATTTTACGTACACTACGTGATAAAGTTCCTCTAGAAGTCCGTCTTGTACCGTTTTGGAAATGAAGTTGCTTAACAACAATATTTTCGGGGAATCAACCGGAATCCCTCAGCGTGTCGTAAATAGTGAAACATTCCCTCGGCATCCGAATTCAAAAGCAATTGAGCAGATTATCGGGAAGCCGAAATCGCCAGCCATAGACCACCACGCGAACTTTCAATGTCCTTAGACAGCAACAAATAGCAGAGAGAAGGTATCAAGGACGAGCAGCATCGGGCTACTACCAAAAGTTTCAGAATTCTGAAAAAGAAACGTATTCACCGGTGCAGCTAGAAAGCAGTACTAAAGGGCAGCAGATTTAACTGTACAACCGATCTATCGTAGAACCTAGTGGGGCCGAAACGAAGAAAAGGAGACGAAGTTGACGAAAATCGTGCTTTCCTATGCACTTTCAGTGTGTGATATTATTACTGTAAGTTTCTGAACATTTTTTACTATTACTAATATCTATGTCATGAACGATTTGTAGTGAATGGATTTTATTCAAAAATCTCTGAAAAGGTTTAAAATCGGTTTATCGGTTTATATTTGTAAATACCATATACTTTATTTTTGTGTATTTATGTGATATTCTAGAGTTGTCTATTTCTAAAGACATTGTGGTTGAATATTTTGGCGGCACTAAATATCTCTTAGACTTTATCAATAAGGCAGATCAATTCATACAACAGAAAAGCCGGATCCAAATTGTGTATTCAATAAATCACTACTTCACTACATAGTAGCAAAAATTAAAGGCGAGGCAAGAGATTTGTTGAATAATAGTTCTGAGATACTTGAAAGGACGTGAAAGACATGCTTATTAATCGATTTGGTGATGGAAGGAACGGGTCTTGCTTAGAATATGCATGCATCAGCTTACTAAGGAATCTTACCAACAATATTATAATCGAATTAATGAACAATTGCAAAAAAAATTACAACAGGTAAAATTGAGCTCATCTCACGAGTTATTTCAAATAAAATCCGGTATGTACAGTGACCAGGCTTTGAAATGGTTCATTTTTGGCATGAAGGATCAGTATGGTAATATTTTTGCGCACTTCCACGTAACTACTTTACCCGACGCATTTCATAAAACCCAGAAAATGGAAAATTTCTGGTATGAACGCTCTTTAACAAACTTCATGAGAAATAAAGATGAACCCCAACGTAAGAACAGTCCACTCTCCAAATCTATATCGTATCACACACAATTTCAATTGTTGCCACCTACAGTTGGTCCACCCAGGTCAAACAGTTTAATCCCCCAGCCGAATTATACCGTGAGACCGCTACCGCAACCGCTCCAGGCACAACTGGCGCCTAATCGTTTTCCAAAGCCAAAATTACAAACATCTAGGAATACTCAACTTAATAGGTTACCATCTAAGTATGTCTATCGCTGGTAGCAACTATCGTCCGAGCACCTCTGTAAGACAGCCGCACCGCCCCAATTTTTTCCAACAAACAGGTCGTCCGAATGTGATTGTTGAAGAACTGCATAATCAGGAGACTGAAGAATCTGAATCATTGGAGCAATACGATAATATTTATTTTTGTGAAACATCAAATGATGATCAGCAAGAATACGATTACACGGAAAGTGGAGTCGTCACCTTGGAAAATGACATTCATTCTGAACATTTTTGCGAACCAACCTCGGAACCAAAACCGTCGACTTAAATCACATACAATCTTTCAGAACTTTCCCATATAGTCCTCCCAAAATTAGGTCTTAAAATATTGGTGGACACAGGAGCTACGTCAAACATTATGAAATCCAACATTGCGGACACATTTTTCTAAATTCCAATTTGATCAAAATGTTGAGGTAAAGTCATTAAATAAAATTTCCCGTGGTACAAGAAATGTTCGATATCCAAACCTGAATGAATTTGGTATAAAAAAGTCTTCAAATTTAAAAAAGTTGATTGGCACAAGTTCGATCTTCTAATAGGAACGGATGAT